TTACAAAAGTTTATTTTTTAATAAATGATTAAGTTTCACATTTTATATTCAGTCATTTTATTCATAAAATGAAATTTTTTCTTTCATTAATAGTAGTATATATTTGTTTGAAAAGAGAAGTGAGAATCCGGGTTTGACTGGAAACTGTAGTAATCTGTGTGCAAGATGAAAACAATTAGGAACTTTCGGGAAAGTAATGCTTGAAGCTCTTGGTTCTGAGAATTGCGTTGAAAAACAAGCTAAGCGGCTGAACTCAGGGGAAGGGAAGAATTACAGCTACTAAAAAGCTCGGGGGCGGTACGAATTACAGCTAGGAGAGTCAACCGTTAGAACGGGTGTTTTGATCAAGCTTAACTCCTGGGGATCTGTCCCCTCTAGGCGCTTAAGGCTATTTGGTTAATAAAAGACAGCTGAAAATTTCAGTCATTACTGATGATGCTCCACGTACAGAACAGAAATAGCATTTCTTATCTTATTAGTATTTGCATGTTTTACAGCTATTATACAGTTCGAAAAGAGAACCCAGAAAAGCTTAGTTTAAAGTTTACCAAACAAGGAGCGCCTTGTTACCAAACTCGTTTAGACCGCCCTTTCTTGTTTGGTTTTGATAAAGCCCTTTGCCTCTTTTTCATATATGTATTCATACATACAGATTTATTTAATTAATATATAATTCCATCAAAGAATTATATTAAAGATTTAATTGACATTTTTCCTTTTTTTTTTTCTTTTTTGGCCAAACTTCAGCAATACGAATAATGAATAATACAACATTTTAATCTTTTTCCAATAAAATGATATATCCATGTAGTTCGATTAAGGAGGCGAATCTTTCCGATTATACGTATGATAAAAACATCATAAATTCAAACTTTGTCGCTGAAAATGGAAAATATTTAGAATCTGAGTAGCAAGACTTTCCAAAATTAAATACATATTTTTTAATTACATAAATTTTAAGCAGTCTGTTTTTAGAGCTGGGCAATATGCATTTCTTTCTTTCTTTTTTTTTTTTTCTTTCTTTTTTTTTTTTTTTTTTTCTTTATTTTTAAACACTTCTTCAAACCAATAAGACAAATATACAGATTTTCCCGAAACATGTTTAACTCTGTCAAAATAACGTTAAAAATTTGCTGTCCGGTCTTTACACGCAAAAATTATAAATACATTAAATGCGTTTATTTAATTTAGCATTTAATTTATTTAAGGCATAAAACTTTATGTAAATAATAGCTTACGTAAATAATGAAAATAATATAAATAAAAAGAAATGAAAAAAATATAAGTGCTTTACAAGTATATGAAATTGGTATAATGCTTTAAAAGTACTGTGTTTTTTTCCAGTTCAGTCATCAAAAGAAATCAAAGACAAGCAGCAATTAGTATATTTGTTATTTACAGTGGTGTACATGGATAAACTGAATTCTACATTTACCTAATAACACACCTCTCATTGATTTAGCTAATTCATTGTATATCTTTGTTTATTATTATGAACTTTGAAACTAAAACTAGTTAATTACAGAAGAAAAAAAAAAAAACTATAAGATTTGTAAAATTATTAAAATGGAAAGATACTTTTGTTTGATTTAAAACGTAAACTATAAAAATTAATATGCCTTCTTTCAAGATATCTTTTTCCAATAGTTTAATGCGTAGAAGCACTAAATACTTTCATTTTATAGAAAAAATATTCTTTCTAATTAATTTAATTAAAAAATAATCATGCAACGAAGCGAACCCGAATTTTAAAATTTAGTTATGCTTGATATTCAAAATCATATGTTTATAAAACATTTAAAATGATACATAAAAATATCATAGTTTCTTATTCCAAACAGTTTGTCATTTAAATACAAAAAAATTGTACTTGAAACGTCTCAGTCACTGAAAATAAAAGTCAATGTAAAATGTGTGCAGTTTTTAATCCTTGAGAACAATTTAAGGGAAATTAAGCTTTTATTTCATTAAATTTTATCTTTAATTAAAAGTTTACAAGAAAAATTAGTCGCGTGCATAAATTAAAATATTTTGAAAATTAAGAAACACCGAAGAAAAACATTAAAATTGTCTTAGGAAGTTGGTCACTGTAAGTTCAGTAATTAACTACGAAATTTTCGAATAAAATGTATATGAAAAATTAAATAATACTTTTAAAGTGCTAATAAGAAATGTCTAAATCTAAAAGTAAATTTAAGCAATCCAATTTAAAGCGACCACTCAAAATTTGTGAATGTGCTGAACCTGCATAATGATCAAAACACTGTTTGTCTTAGGGAGATAGTTACCAAGAAGGTTCACTGCAAGTATACATTATTTCTAAGAAACAAAAAACAAACAAACAAAAAGCTGCGTGAAGATTTTCGGGATTTTTCTAAAGTATAATGAATGAATAAAGGATATAAACCACTTCCTGAGAATGTACTCCACAGAGGTATTCCACCCCTTAAGCAGATAGCCGTAGTGTGCTTTGGCATAATCTAGTAAATTCAAACCCTACTAAAATATTATGTAGCTGACTTTCGTCATAACTAACCAATCGACATTCAAGTAACTGACTGCACGCTGTGCATGAAAATTTTAATAACACTTTAAGAATAAACTGAAGCAAAACAAGAAATAATTTTCATTATAAGAGTATTAGGTTAACAAAAGTGAAGAAAATAATCTCACAATTAAGTTAGCAATTTTTTTTTATAAATAAGGTCACGCAGTTACTTACCTTCCTTTTCCTAATCTTTTTTAGTCCTAAGTCCTTTTTTTTAAGTTTTTAATCCTTTTTTAGTTCTAGTTTTTTAATCCTAATCACTTTTAATTATTAATTACCAGTAAAAACTTTATAAAAAATAATTTATTGATGACCTTTGCTAGTTAACTATGTCAGTTTAAAATTCTGTTAAGTGCTATAAGTCGCGCTAATTTTCTATGCTTAAGTTTCCTTCTTACTTTATCAGCAAAAATTTATTAATTAATAAAAACTATGAAAGTAAAAATTATCCTTTTTCCATCTTGCGCTCACAAATCATTATGGGAATATCCATTTACAATTATTAAAGCCTGAATAAAGCATGTCTGCGATGTTATGGTCATGTGATGATTTGTAGATACTTTATTTTTTACCACGATATTTTCGACGGCGATGTTTTTAAACTGCGAAGTTTTTTAACCGCTTTATTTTCGACGACGATGTTTTGGAACTGTGATGTTTTCTCCCACGTTGTTTTGTAGCACGACGTTTTCGTCTTGCGTTGTTTTCTCCGCGATGTTTTCGGCTGTAACCATCAATGAAATTACTCTTGTGTGCTTTACAATAAGGAAAAAAAATGGATGAAGGCTTTTATGCTAACTGAAAATTATCTGCTTATGATAAATCAAAACTTTCCTTTAAATTGTTGCTGAATTTTGGATACTCTCCTGCTAATTTTTCATTATCTTTGATCTGTATATGCCAGTAAGACAAATTTTAAGGTCTAGAACAAATAGATACAAGATTACTTTTCTTTCCAGTTCTTTATTAGATTAAGTCGCCCAGATGGTATAGTGGTTAGGGAAGCCTACTGCGGTACTGAAGGGCCCGGGTTCGAATCTCAGAGAAGACATGGATGTTTGTAAATGTATAGTGTAGGTGTAGCAGGGCGACATTCTAAATATGTGGCGAGCCGAAAGTCACCTCATGTGGATTGGTGGAGGGGGAGAGGGGTAGGAGATCCACGGATCCCCTTCGAGGTGCTCTCAAAATTGGGGGTGGAAAATAGAAGTCCAACCTCTATTCGGAGTAGGCTCTGGTAACCATTGTTCCATGTAATATGAACAACCTGATCCCGACAAAGTACTTGAAGGGGCTAATATTCTGCATCCATAAAGAAAACACTTGCTCCAGTTTCCTGGATTCGTCAGAATAATGGTCTGCACTATTCTAAAAGAAAAAGTTGAGAAGAAGCACAAATCATAAAGCATCATATTGATGTCTCTTTCTTTCAGGTTATTGTAATCAATGAATGTGCTTATTTCTATCCTAATGTATGTTGTTTGCTGTTGCTGTTAGAGTCATATAGTTATCTTTGAAAAAACTATTTTGATGACTTCATCCTTTACAACCAGACTATTACATAAACTTCTTCCATATTTTATAAGGGCATTATGAGGTGCATTTGTGGCTCTGTATCTACTTATTCAGTATCTACTTATTCTACTTACAGTTTATTATAAAATTTTTATGAATATTTTGAGAATTAAACATATATTCAATTTTATAAGTTGGAAAACTCACAGCAATGAGTTTAAACATTATAAAAGAAAGCAGCCTAGTGCCAGATGCTGTTCTTAATGGCAGTCCTGACTATCAGCACAAGTGTGTGATTTGGATTAATGTTTCAGTACTTTAATCAAAAAGCAGGATTTTTATTTTATTCTACCCCTTGAAAACTGTCTGACATTTTATGGTGAAGCATCAATGTAGTACTTTGATTTTTGTATCATCTTCAGAGGATTAGAATATATGTAATTCCAGAAAAAAAAAAAAAAAAAAAGCTATGTAAATGTACCTTTCATAATGTAATACATTTTATTATTGATCTGTTTTGTGTTGGTAAATCTTTTTGTGAGCACTATATTAAGTATACCTTGTCATTTGGTTCATTAATATTTCATAATATATAATTTTTGCAATTATCTGTAACTTCACATATTCATGATAAATCTTGAAATGCAATATTATGGATATATGAAGGCTATACTATATATTTACTTCGCATTACTGGAGACATTGAACTGGGACTGCCCACTTTTCACCTGATTAAGCCTTTATTAATTACCACTGTGATTCATTTAATTATTTTCTTCAGACATTTTCTACAATATCACTAATTGAATTAATGAGAATTTTTCTCATAAGTATTTTAATTTCCAGTATTATTTATTTATTTGATATTCTTTTTATATTTTTAACATTAGATTTTAATAATATATTTAGTATATGTTAAATAATTGTAATTTTGTAGCATGGAGGAATGCGAGGCATTGTGTAGCCGACTTGCAATCATGGTCAATGGTCGCTTTCAGTGTTTAGGTTCTATACAGCATTTAAAATCAAAATATGGCAAAGGCTATACGCTTGTTATCAAAATGAAAAAAGAAACTCTAGGTAATCCACAAACTGTGACTGAGATAAAAGCATTTGTTGAAAGCAACTTGCAAAGTGCTGAACTGAAAGATGATCATCAAGTAAGACTGTTTCCTCAATCCATAACATAACAATAATTTTTATTGTGCTAATGTGTCCTCCTTCTCCCCTCCTCCCGCTTTTCTTTCTTATCTTTGGAAAAGAGATCTGCTTGAAAATAAAGAGGAAATATTTCTTAATCTTTTATATCAAAATTTCAGTTTCCTTCAAAATTTTAGTTTTAATTTGAAATTATTATAAATCATACAGATTTTAAAGGATGCAGCTTGCCATGTTACTTACTTAAACTATTTCATATCAGCAGATCATGTCATTGAAGTCATTTTCCAGTTTCTTGTTTAAGTAGAAATATCCAAAGCCAATTCCTCAGTAGCTCATTGAGTAAGAAAACCCATTCTGTAAGCAGGAAAGTTTTCGATTTAGATTTTACTGTAGTTTGGATCTTTGTAAAGTTTCCAGTAATTTAAACAGCATGATGAATTCTGGAGTTTCCAGTAGAGAACTTAATCATTTAATACCAAAATAATGATAACAATAATAAAATAAAAAATAAATAAACAAACAAAAATTAGAATTTTGAATTATTGTAATATTTGATAGGAATTTTGTATGAAATTCCTATGAAATAATAATTCAATATTTCAGAACTCAATACTTAGCACTTTGTATTCAGAATTCTATACAAGGCATGTAGCACATTTTCTTGCATCTTATCCTTTCACCATTGCTTGACAATCATACCCTGCCCCCTCTATTCCCAAATTTGAAAAATAGATATACATTTATTTAAATTTAGAAGTATAGAAAATGTTGATAAATACCAAACTTGAATAAAAGTATTTTTTTACATTCATAAAATAAAACTAAATACTTAACAGGTAAATAAAGGACTGACTGCAATTCCCTGAAGCTATGAAATTCTCTCCCAGAGTGGGGAGAATTTGCTTCTGGTTGATAATCCCTGCATTAATCTTTACTGTGGATCCAAAATACAACATAAAAGTGTAAAATTAATTCAATTAAATTATTCCTTTTAGCTAGTAAGACTTAAAATAATACAAAACAGCTTATTATTTCTGGTACTTCAATGGCATATTGGAGTCTTAAAGTATATTTACTGGGTCATAACTCCAGTAACTCTACATGAAGCTATGACACTAACAGGATTTGACTGACAAAGTATAACTAAATTTCAACATTTGGAATCCATGCCAGCATCAAGGATTCAGGTCTGTACTAACCAGCAGGCTTCTCTCTTATTCTCTAGACAATTAACATCAGTGGAACAGCTAAACTTCTGTCACAAATCTTGTTGATTATGATTTTGCTTCTCATTTTAACCTATGCTGTTTGATATAAAATCTTGCGTGATATTTACTAAACTTCTGGACTGAGCAAGTACATGTTGAAATGAGGCATAAAAGAAAGATTCAACATTAAAACTGTCAGCAACATGTTATTAATATTCCTTAAAATATCCGACTATTTTAATTGTTTCGGAAAAATTTTCAATTTAATGCTATTTAATAAATTTGAGAAAGTTAAATTTATTCTTGAATTTGTTTTAGAAATATGTTTAATAATAATGCATTCTACTGATAGATATGTTTTTTTTTTTTACTTACAGATCTGTATTTCTTAGATTTTTGTGAATTTGTGTTTCCATTGGCTTGATGCTTGCTTTGTTACTGGTTTATACCTATAGCTTCAAGACTTATCACAGGTCATGATCCTCATAAGAAAATTTGAGTTGTGATGTAGTTCCTTCAAATCATGGCAATCATGCATGTATTTGCTTTTCTGCCAGCTCTGTTTGTATGTGAGATACAAATTTGGCAGATAGACATCTCACTTCCCATTCTTCCAATAGTGTCTCTGGCAGACACTTCATGAGAAAATTATTTCTTCAGAAATCTGATCACCAGTCTTTCAATATTTCCATTAATAGCCTGATTAATAATTTTTCAGTATTTTCCTATTTCTGTTCATGAGTGGAATCCATTGGATAATAATATAAAAATTGCAATAATCAAATATATGATCTAGTAATATCTCATTGGTAATCAAAGTTCAAGTCACTGTGTTGTAGGCTTTACTAGCTATGCAGTTCAATAACATAAATGAAGTCATGTGCTATTTATTATAAGCTTTTATTTATTTCACTCATGGTGTTTTACTATGGTTGGAATTTTGTCAGTGATTTTTCAACCTATTTTGTGATAAGATATCGAGTTCAAATTTTATATATGCACTAATGGTTGATGACACTGCAATGTAGTAAAAGGATTTTTTCAAAATTCGATTTAGATTTTTTTTAAATGTTTTAAATGATTGTTTGCACATATATTAATTTAATGAACAACCTAAACATATCAAAATTTTATTGTTTGCATCATGGAAAAGAGTGTAAAAAAACTTGAAAAGTGCTTTATTTTTTAGACTATTTGATGCTTATAATTTTAAAATTTCAACAGCTAATAATGTATCAAATATAAAATTTTCATAGATTGTAAGATAAACTGTTTTAAAACAAGAAAGATAAAAAATATATTGAGTGATTTTATATATATATATATTTTAATGTATTGCAGCCTGAGACAAATTAAAACAAAAAACTTATCTTGCGGAAAAATTGTTTTTGAATTTGTCATCCTTCCTCACTTATTGATGAATTTGTGATACTATTCATTTTTTCATTTTAGCTTTAAGTAAAATGCTTGTTGTAGCATTTTTATTATATCATCTTTCATTCTTTGAATGATGTTTGGGTATTTTTCTTTATTTCATAATTTTCTTATAATTTATTGCTTGTGTTTTAAATGACAAAAAATTTTATCATTGATAATGTGTAACTGAGACTAAAAAGCAGAAAATAAGGTGCAATTAAAAAGAGTTTTTTATACAATTATCTTTCGCTTAAAATGGATATGATAATTAATGCACTGAAAGGAAAAAAATAGTTTATCATATAATTTAATGGGAGTAATAGATTAAATAATTCTATGTACAGAATTCATTTAGTTTTATATCAAGAGTAATAAAAGTGTGAATTGCCTAACTAATGAAATCTATTAATTTAATTGCATGTCAGATGTATTAGCTATTATTTTTTTAAACTTTTCTATTAATTTAATTGCTTTGTCAAATGTATAAACCATTATCTTTTTTGATTTATCATGGGTGCCCCATTTTTTTATTATTCATGATATAAAATTGTAGATGAATTCTTTAAATAGAATTATTGAATCTATTATTCACATTAAGCTTTAAGATAAATTATGTTTCTCCTTTTAGTGCATTTCTTAGGATATCCATTTTAAATAAAAGCTTATTGTATAAAAAAAACTTGTTAAAAAATGTATTTGTGTTTAATATGAACTTTAATGAGATTTATAGTGTTCTATGTAAAAATGTTTCAGATTGTGGTTTTAACTATACACCAATATAATATATATATAATAAATGAAAAACAAGCATGGTTTTATTTCAGTATTTATGAGTGAAAACTTCAGAAAAAATATCATAAAAAAAACTGTATCATTAGTATCAAACTGATTAATTTCATTGAAAAATATGGCTTTAGCAAAATACAGCAATCTAAAAATCTTCATTTCATTAAGGAAAAATCATTTTATTTTATTATTAGAGAGATACAACTAGGTTGTATTAGGAGCAAATGTTTGACTTTTCATATTGTTTACTATAGTGATTTAGTTCGTGTCAGCATATCATTCTAATTATAATATGAAAAGTTTCATTTTATTTCCTTTCGTAATCTATTGGTTTAATTTTTAATTAGAGGTAGTATTTCTATTTTAACATGTATGTTAATGTGATCATGGAAATAACAGTTCTTCATCCTATGTTTCAGGGTATGCTGCAGTATCATATTGTTGATCCTACTCTAACTCTTAGCTATCTGTTCAATTTCATGGATGATATGAAACATAGATTCAATCTGGAAGATTATTTGATTAGTGACACATCTCTTGAACAGATATTCTTGACATTTGCTCGAGCACAAAGATTATTTGAGCAGTCTTCTGCTTAATGTTAATTATTTAGCTTTTAAATTTATTCTTGCATGGTAATTATTGTAAGTGTATTTTATTTATATTTATATTACAGAGACCATTTGGTAAAGATATTATAAGCTTGAAGTAATTTATATATAAGCTCCTGCTTTATTTGGCAGGATAAAGACTATAATGCTGTTGAAAACAGAATACATTGAAGTGTATGAGTTTTTTTCAGCTTTAAAATGCAGATTCTATTACCAAAAATGTAAATAACACATTACACATTGCATGAGAAAGCAAAATATTGTCTCTTTCTCTCTATATATGTAATCATTTCTGCTTTTACCAGGATTTTTTTCCTGTGGTAGAAATAATGATGATGCAGAATGAGCCTAAGTTAATTGTCTACGCAGTGTAAATGTCTCTGTCAATTTTGCTGATCACTGAAAAACATGAATATAAACAGATAATATTCTATGTTTCAAACAGACCACTTATCTCAACTTACTTCACTGAACAGAGAAGGAAATATTAAAGTTGTTAAGTATTACTATATCTGCATCTTTTAGACTTAAATTCTGATCTTCTACATGTCCTGTCTCCCATGTTTTGAGAATGATCTCTACATGTGCATGTGTAAGCTAGAAACATTTTCTATGAATATGAAATAGTTTCATATTAATTATAAAGTACAAATGTAAAATAAAATTTTTGTCATTTTTGGAAATATTTAATTTACATTTTTTGTAAATAGTATAAAAATTGCTTGAAAATAGTAGTTTAAATATTTTATAAGCTTATGACTTTGCAAACTGTTTATTTTTCAGATAATTTTAGATACTTTTAGTGATGCATCTAAATTTTCTAAATTTACTATTTTAAGTATCAAATTATTTTGGAAACTTATTCTTAAATATATTTTTCTTATCTTAAAATACTTATTTTAACTCATTAACAATTTGTATTCAAACACTATTGCACTATTTGTACCCAAATACACATAACATATATTAACCTGAGAGGCCACTTGTATTATTTGTATAATACAAATTCTGTGTATAATTGAGTCAAATTATTAATCCAAAGAAATAGTTTTAGTGTTCCATAAAACTTTGGTGAATAAAATAGAATTTTTGCCAACATGGACCTTATGTATTCAAATGAATACAAACTAATTATGCTCTAAAAGCAAACATAAGTATAAAATTATGTTTTATAAATGCTATACTACGTAACATTAGAAAATATTTATAGTGTGTAAAACAAGAAAATAATAGCAGCCAAAAACAGCAGTATTTTTATATAGCTGTGCTTGGTGTGTTATTTTTTAAATGACATGGAAAAAAATTTGTATGTAACTGCGTTGCTTCGGGGCTACAAACCTATAAATAAAAGTAACCTTTTGTAAACATTTTTCGTATATGTTATCAATTATTCACTGAAATGGTTAAAATTTTTTCAGACAAACATGCTGAATATTTTTATTAAAACTGATGGAAAATCCCAAAATATCTCCTGTTTCATTACTTATTAGAAATATTAGTAAAAGTAGGATATTAAAATATGTATCCTACTAGATGAATTATTTCAAAAAATATTAATGTAAAAATATCTTTGAATTTAAAAAAACAATTTGCTGTTTTAACATGTGATCATATATTATCCCTCTGGAACAGAATGATGTGTATTTATTCACTCGCATATTTTCCCTACATATTTCTCCTGTACATTTCATATTTTATTTCCATAATTTTTAATGTGATCCCTAAATTTAAAAAGTGGACTCCTTCATGAAAAAGCCCGTTTCTGAACATTTCAGATTGATATTCATAGTATATGCATTTTCAAGACTGTCCATTCAGCTCTTCAAAATCTTAAACCAAGGCTATTCAACCATTCATGGGGTAAAAAGGTAACTGCATTTCCATGTAATATAGAAGCATCACTTGTAGAGATTATGTCTTAAACTGACAAAAATGGTAGCGTAAAAGTATCTTTATACTTAATATGAGTGGACATCTCTCCTGTAAAGCACAAAGTGCAATGGTCAAATGACACTCCATTGTCTTTCTTCTTGCTCTTCTCCTCTAGTCATTAAATACAGTAGGATACTCACGTGCTATACACTTATAACTTTTTTTTTCATTTATTATTATAGGCTTTTGTCATTATCAGCTTTTTAAAATTTAAATTACATAGCTCAAAAAATTTTTATTTTCTCCTACAGGATAGGTAACAAGTACTGTGTTAAAATTTTAAAAATAATGTAGTACTGATAACAGTTACTAACAGAAATCTATTTATGCATGCTTTTTAATGATGTAAATTCTTTCTTAACCCCTTTCCCTCTCTGAAACAATATGCACTGCATAAACAGTCTCAGTTGTCAAAAAGTAAAATGAATGAATAAAGATAAAGAATTACACTAGTTATGTGATAATTCTATCACTAATTTTCATATTACAGGAAGTTTATTTTTGCATTCTGAATGTATTTCTTAGTCTTCATTAATATCATAAATTAACATTCATCATATAAATTTGAAATACATATGTCAAACCAGTTTGTCATTCATCTTCACAGATCATCAAGATATACGATATACATTTTATGAATAATTTATTTAAAATATAATTTTTATTCATTGCTTATCAACTTTCCTATCAATAACATAGCTGTCATATTTCCTGATAGAATTGAGGGGTATCTGATTTTTTAGGGCATGCTGCCGGTCTCTCAGGAAATCACTGAATCTCCTGTTTTTAAGTTATCCATGTTTAGCTCATCTTTTTCAAATACAGCTGTAGAGCAATCTTTGATTGCTCAGTATTGAAGAAAAAGAAATTTTTTGATAAAATGTTGAATGCCATTTATCTGATTAATTTTTGTTTGTTCTGAATCGTGTTAATCCATTACAGAGATGTGAAGAGCATTCTGTGAAGCTTTCTAATGTATTGAGTAAATATGTATAATTAATTATGGTGTAAATTTGTTACATTATTAAGTTTATCTTATGTTACATTATTAAATTTATCTGCATGATTATTATGTGTATCTCATTTACTAATTTTATTTTCATCATATTTAAAAGTACTTTGATAAGTAAAAACTTTTTTTTTTATCTACACGTGATTTCATTAACATAAAATTTTTACAAAATTGCAAAATAAAGAAGAATTAGGGGTTAAAATTAATCAGCTTTTTAAATTTAAGAATTAGGGTTATAGTTAAAAATAAGAATATTGAATTAAATATTAATGAATTTTCCCGCAAAATCACATTTTAAATAGTTTAATAATTGAAATCATGCATTATAAAATGACTTAAAGTCAACTGTGTGAATTTTAAATTCTTTTGGAGAATTGCTTCACAATAAAATCTTCCTAGTTTTTATATTTCAAGTTTGGCAGTCGTGCAATATTAGCTTAATTTCATAATGTACTTATATAAAATATTGTTATTAACACAGTACAAAGTTCGTAATCTGGACTCACCGGGACTTCGGCGATTCCGGATTAGGGGTTTTTTTGGATTATAGATCATCAATTTAAATCTGGTAAGATGGCATGCAGAAATTAGACAAAATTATGAAACCGTAATTTATGAAATAAAGAGCAATTATGATCTAAAAGGGTATCAAAATTTACAAAAAAAAAAAAAAGCTTAATATTTATTTGTTTACTTTATTAAATATTTCTTTCAATGTAAGTTGTTTAAGTTGCTTCATTTTTTGTGCTAATACTTTCTCTTTAATTCTTATAACAGATATCTTTTATAAACAGGCATAATTTCTTGTTCAGTTACAAAGCTCCAAGTCCTGTAATTGCTGTGTTGAGAATACCGACTAACTTGCTAATCGAAATTTTTTTGTTTTCAATAACCTCTCTGTCACTTTCTTCACTATCAGAAGCGGTACATCAAAACATGCTTTCGCTTTGTAGATCCTTTGACAACTCCAGAATTGAAAACTCTTTTTGACATAATCGTAAGTTCAAGGTTAATTTTTATAAAATTGATCTAAAAGTCTGCAAAATATAATAAGCCGGATCCAGTTGAAAGATTAAGGAACAGTGCAATCTGCATCTGAAATGCCTTAGAATCAGTAAAGATAATTTTAGCCTAGCTTATACCGTCCATTATACATTAAACGTGCATGCGTAAAGCATACAAAAAACAAGTTTGTGGCTTTGAGGTCTGGATTATAGATCATTCCGGATAATGGATGTCCGGATTACGGACTTTGTACTGTATAGTTTTACCTGAGCAAGAATTCTACAGTGTAACTGTAATTCTTCAGAATCTGCAAATATGTAGAATCTTCATAAATGTTTTAAAAAAACTCTTTATTACTTACTTTATTACATGAAATTGTACGGCTTTTCGGTATCTTAAAATAGATTGAAACGTATCTTTCTTATGTCCTTATTCTAAAATAAATGCAAACTACTTTTGTTATTGAAGTGAAGTAAAAATGTTTTCTTATTGCATTTGTCAAATACTTTTGTTACTAATATTTTTCCTTTTTTCAGATCTGTGAGAAGCAGGTGGCCTGTAATATGCTTTTCTAATCTAGTGCATAATATATAAATATATATATATATATATTATATATTATGGATGACCTTTTATCCAAGGTTGTAGTTATTAATATTATTGGGGAACTTAACTTGTTTTGATTTCAATTTAATTTTGGATACTTTATGTTTGATTTACTTCAGTCTCACAGCTATAGTGCAAGACAGGTTAAATTTTAGTTTTGGGCATATTACTTTGTTTTTCTTTGTGTGTGTGTGTGTGTATAGATAGATAGATAGATAGATAGACTCTGATTTAAGAATAGATAGATAGACTCTGATTTAAGAATAATCAGTCTTCAAGTCATTTCATCATCCCCCCCAGTGGTTACATTTTTATTTATTAAGTTAATTTAGGCTTTTTATTTATGCGTGAATATTTATTTCTAGAGACTGGATGAATCCTAAAGTTTCTTTAATCCAAATTCTAAGAAATTCTTAAATTTTTCTATTGAATCATTCATACGAGAATAAAAAGAAATCAGTTTGCATTAAGAATTTTGTGTTAAAACGAACTGCAAATCTGCACTTAATGAAAAACAATTAAAAAGGCCAGTTTTTAAAAATGCATTTATATTTATTGCAACAAATAAAATGTACCAAGTGAACTATGTAATTAAAACACTTGAATTTTGAAGTTTATTTTATCATAATTTAATCAAAAATACATGTGTAATGGTTCGGATTTTTTATATTTTTCTAGAATGTTTTAATTGAAAGCAAATGTAGAGGTAAAAGGATTATATTAAAAAAATTAGTACACGTAAACATTAAACTTGGTGGTATGTCCAAAAAATTAAGACTATGGCACTCGAGTTCACTACTAAGCAATACTGGTAATCCAACTCCTTTCAAATTTATGACATCATATTCTTTTTGCAATGAATGTCAAAATTAATTACAAGTTTTGGTTTAAAATATTTTACTGTTTTTAGATTAGAATTTGAAAGGGGAATGTATTAAAATTTAATGCTTCAAATATCAATATTTTCTTTTTAACTCGAGGATATCTCATCCTTATTTATTTGTTTTATTCTAAATAGAATAATATTTGTATGGAAGACAGGTAGATATTGAAATTAGTAAGCTTTTTACTTTTATTCATATTAATTAAATTTAAGTTATTTTAAATCTAGTTAGATATAAGTCACCTTAGTTATTTATCAACAGCTATTATTATAGACAAATTTTAATTTATTTGAAAATGCATTGCACTTATTAAGC